TATATACATATCTATGGTATTAAAAAAAAAATTGACCTATTATAAATTCCAAATTAAGCATATCACAATATCCATTAAGAGGACGCTACACCCGCATGTGTACACTCACAACAAAATAACTAAAATAGGTATGCTAGGTTTTTTAATATGTAATTTCGTCCCAAATTTGAACTTAAAATGTCTGCAAAAAATAACTGTGCTCATATATTTTTTAGATTTTTTGGCTACAGTATGAACTATTTATGAGAATCTTTTTTTCTAATTTTCAATCCTTAGCTATAAAAACTGAACATTTTATAATTTATTAATTATGATGATTGATAATTTTCGAGATTTTGATAAATTTTGTCAAAATTCGATCTTTAAATGATCTTTAATTTAAAACTTTATTGATATTTATAGAAAAAAAAAACTAAAAAAATTTAAAACTGAAAATGTCCGTAAACGGCTCAAAAAGAGTCAAAATATTTTAGGTATATTTAAATTGTATGGTGTATAGGAAATGCTAATATAAACATTCAGTGAAATTTTCATGTATCTACAGTAAGTCGTTTTTGAATTACAACAAAATAAGGAAATCGCCCGATGAGAAATCGAGTGAATATAAAATGTAAAAATTTGAATTTAAAACGCTCATAAAAATTTAATTTGACTTTCTTATAGAATTTTTTTTTTTGATAAATGTAGGAAATCTTATAAGGAATCTTGTATTACATTTTCATATCTTAGATTTAAAAAGAAAAATTTTTATGAATTACTAACTCGAAATAATTTGCAAATTTTCGTGATTTTTCCATATTTTTGTCATTTTTTGAACTTTAAATGCTTAAAAAAAAAACTGTGACTAACGATTTTTATTATTTTTCATCTGTCTTTGACACAATATAGTAGGAAACCTTGTATTAAATTTTCAAGTATATTTACTCAACAAATAAAATGTATTGATATTCATAAAAAAAAACTAATAAAATTGGAAACTGAAAATGTCCCTAAACAGTTCAAAATAAATCAAAATATTTTGAAAATGTTATCGTGTTTAGAAAATGCAAATATAAACAACCAGTGAAAATGTCATGTATCTACGGTCATTTGTTTTAAAGTTACACCAAAACCAAAATCGATTTTCTCGAAAACGGATTTTGCGTAAAAATTCCCGTTTTCCTTAATTTTTCTTTTGTTTTTCCCGGCGCTTTTGAAAACTACTAATTTTACCTTCCCAATGAACCAACGATGTTCACTTTCCAATCGAACAAGATACTGAAGTTGAAAATCGAAGCATTATTTCGACTACTAATCGTGTACACAGACACAAAAAAAAAAAAAAAAAACACACATCATTGTAAAATCAATACATTCATCGTTTCACTCAGAATCTCAAATTAATTGGTACCTACCTAGAATGTTCTTTACAAACACCATCATAGTCATCTCTGATCTAGACTGTTCACATTCAACTGCTAAAATAAAACAATTTTATGTTAATCAATTATTAAAGAAATTTGAATTATTCAATTATTCTTATTTAGGTTCTGAGCCCATTGTGGATTATTGATTATTGATTTTAGAGATTAATCGGTTCGTTTCAAATACCAAATAAAACTACACATCTTAAATCAATAAAATGTGGCTGTTTTTATCATAAAAATTCCATTTTTTGGTGTTGTAGAAACTATTTATCATTGGAGCTTCCCAAAAAACTTATCTTTTTAGATTTACGAATTTGTTTTATATTATAATTTTATTGCAAATTGCAGTCGACAATCAACAATTAATTTTATAAGTAAAAATATATTTATATAAAAGTATATAGGTAATAACCACTAGATTGAACATTAGGTCATAGGTGTCGTGTATATCCACCAAGAGTCGTACTTAAGAATGTTGCACCAATTATTTTCAAAATATTTTTTGTAATACCTATCGTAGAACTATAGAACAAACAACAGTAGTGGTCAAAACATTTGAATATTTATCTTCATCGACTAATGAGTGAAAAAAAGGTAATTTAAAATAAAACATTTGAAACATAAAATATATGGTTGGATAATATGTGTTGACCTACAAAATATCCGAAAATAATGATGATCCATATAGTTTGGCCAAACCTATCATAATATAGCATTCCTGATAATGATATAAAGAATCCAATAAAACTTTACACAAACCTTTTTTAAAAATTGTGGACACTAGAGGTTTATAAATACCAACAAAACGGGCGAGCATTAAAATTGGTATAATATTATTATAGTAGGTAATGGTGACAAAACTGTGGTAAAAACTAATTGACGCTTGAATACTAGATTGTACAAAGAAATGAAAATCAGAAGATACCTATGTGGCTATGTGGTCAGTTTAGTATTTGAACACCAAGTCTTCCTATTCCTATATGTAGTTAATAATTGAACATATATTTGTAAGCAAAGGTAGGAAAGTTAATAAAAATAATTAACCCAAGTTAAGTTAAGAGAGCACAAGATCAATGAGTTAAAAATTAACAAATTATAAATTTAACTCATAAGTTAAAAGTTTATATGGGAAAAATATTGACTTAACATAACTTTAAACTTAAGTTTAAAAAAAGTTAATCATCATTTTTTAATTAGCATATTGATCACATAACAAGTGACTGCATTATTTCTAATTTAAAAAATTAAATAAACAATTTTATAACTAAACGAAGTTGTACAATGCAAATGTTTTTTTTTTAATATCCCAGAAGAACAAAAGAAGATAATATTTACGTTCCTATACCTAAAAATAAAAAATGAATTCATGTTCTTATTTATTAAAAATTAATGGAATTAATATGATAAATATGAAATTATAATGAAATCAATTACAATAACCGTCTCTTAACAACACCGATCATCACATAGCATATTATCACATTCAATTATTGTATATTCTATGTATATTCTTTGAAGCATAATTAGAATTCTAATTTTAATAATCTACAAAATGGATCTGGTTCAAACGTCGTTTTCTTGGATCCGCGTCAGGAGGACATCCAGGTCTTCAGGTTCTACAAGTCCACTGTGTAAGTCCGTTAGTAATTTGAGTGTGTGAGAGGCTGCCTAGTTCACCCCGTTCGGTGTTTCTCTTAACTTCTGCCTTGCTTCCATTTTTTTGGAATTATCTTGTGCAGGCAAATTGAACAAGCAAATTCTTTATAAAACCTGTATTGTTAATAGAATCATATAACATTTAGTCTTCCACATAAAATATATTCATAGGAAACGTTTGTTAAGGAATCAAATTAAATAATAAATTTAATCAACTGTTCTCGTGATTTACTGTGCAATTAGACATTTAAAATGTCAAAACCATTGAAAACTGAATTGTGACGAGTTAAAATTAAATATATATATATACATATTATATTGTTAAACATAGTAGGTAGGTACTTAATATTCAAAACTGTAACGCGTTATTCTATAGAAATTACTTTCCAAAAGTAATTTCCATTAATGTTCTTTACTTTCCTAATTACTTTAGGAAATAATTCTAATGAAATTCCGTAACTCGTAACAAGCAAAGTACCGCCGTTTTAATACACAACAATAATATATAAATTATGTATTTTTTGAAAAAATGAATATATTTTTTGATATAACTCAACAACTAATAACAGGTGATACATTAAATTGTCATAACATTTATATTACAAGGCCATTATTCATACATGATTTTTTTTTTTTTATATTTTGATTCTTTTTAAGCCATTCGTTTGCATGAGAAATTTTTGATTTCTTATGGTTCTTTTAAAATTGTAATCGATAGACAATAAATAATTTTTCACTTTGTCAAAAATTACCTAATTAATTACTAACCAACTAGTCAATTAAATAAATATATTATTCATGCGAACTTGAACATATTATTATATTTTATTCACACAATGACATTGTCAAGACAATATTTTCGTAATAGATAAATTCAACCTACATGTATTACTATGAGTAAAGTCAATTACTTTAATAACAATTAAATCATAAAATATATTTAATAATATAGATTGACAGACAGCTTTCGCAAAGTAATGTTTTTAGTATGCAATTGATACAAACATGTATAAGTAGTACAAACTTGCCAAAATATTAAAAATGTTATTGTGTTAGGGTTCAATAAAAACAAATATTAATTTAACCTTCGAATTATGATATTGTTATAAATGTACCTATATTAAGTATTTACTACAATTATGTTATAAATGAGTAACTTTACTTAGAATACTCCTTGAGCATTTCACTTAATAATAATAATATTTGTTTTTCACTTCAACGATTTTTCTTAGTATTCATTTTAAAATATTATGTAAATCCATTTGTAAATACCTACATTTAAAACAATAGTTTTAATTCAGTTAAAATCGGCAAATGCCACAGAGGATAAATCATAAAACATAAGTTATTTCCATTAATTTTTTTCTGTACTTAAGTTAAAAAAAGTTATTATGAGTGTGAGATTAGTGCTAAATAATTTTAACAAAGGTTTTTTGATTTTCGGTGTTGGTAGTACAAATTACAACCACGGCTATTATAAGACGTCGGTGGTGTTTCATATCTTGGGATGTATAATAATGTATATTGGTTTGCATAACTTCTACATGGCCAACCGATGGGTAATAACTATATTTAAATATATTTAATAGTTTTGTATGCTGTTACATAAATGGTAGGCACATTGAAAAACATCCATAATTTCAAATGTAAATTTGTCAACAGTTTTTGTATTTATGAACATTCAAATGATACAACAGTTATATTATTGTCATATTAACCATTAGGTATGATTTTATTATTATAATTTTTAATTTATTATAGTTAATTTCCAATAAACTTGTTCAATTTAGTACATTATCTTCTTGATGAACAAATACATGAAAAAATAGTTCAATGATTTAATATAAATACCTACATATGTATATATATATATGATGTAGTAATTGTGAAATGTGTTTAAATAATTATATTTTATAGATCGAAAAAATTGATCCGGAAATGACTGAACTAACGTCCTTAATACTTATCAGCTGTTATGAGTTGTCTTTTATTGGAAGATTCATATGTAAAATTTGGCGCATATTTTTCGATAATTCACTGTCAACTGTATTGACTACACTCGAAACAGTTCACGAGAAATTGATACGCTTGAATGTGGACGGGCTGAAGAAAATAAAAAATATTAATTGGATTTCTATAGTTATAATTATTGTAAATATTATGGTAATTATTATAAGTTCAACAATATGGATAATAATGCAGAAACATATGCTGGATATAATAGATATGGTAATTATTCTTATCCAATGATATTTTTTATGTTAGTAAATAATCAGTACCTATTTAAAGAATACTTGTATTGTTTTTTTGGAATACGTATTCAAGTAAATGAGTATTGCGGTATTCCTAATACAATTATATCAAATATAGGCTGAATACATTTAAAAAAATCTATTCTGAATATATATACGAATTCACAAAAAGTATTATAAGAATTTTTTTTATTCAGTTTATTAATGATGAATCAATCGTATTTAATTCAAAAACAAAAACCATTTTAATAACTAATTATAGTGTGTCCGATTTTTAATTGGAAAATTCGTTTTTGTCACAAATATAAATTATTTTTAAGTTTCAAAAAAATAACGCTGTAAATAGTCTTGTATGATAATATATCAATTTATTCCATTGAGGAAACTTTATACTATTTGTTTTGTAATACGTTTGCCTGATGGATAAAACACAAACCGTTTACTATATATCACTTATTTTTAGGTCATAATTGTGGTTTTAAATATATGCCAATGCTTTTGTTTTTGTGAATATATACTGCTAATATCATACATGAAGTGGATGATCTACATAATAAATGAACAAATTCCGGAAAGAAAATCGTGCTTAAGTACGTTCAGAGATATGTATTTGGAAGTTATAGAATGCTTACACCAAGTCAATAGATCAATATATGGTGTGCCGGCCATTGTTGGTTTTATTGGAGCAAATGTCGCTGAAATCATATTTACCATATACGGATATTTATTATTCCCTAGAGACTATATCAATGATCCTTATTTGGTAATTTCTTTCATATGGTTGTTGATGAGAACAGTCAATGTTATAGTCTTATACAAGATTGGTGACGCCACCGAAAAAGAGGTTTTTATATTATAATATTATGTATTAATTGAATTTATTGTAAGTTTAATTAGCTCTTAAAAATTATTTTTCATCTACTATGAATACTTGGTAACATTTTTGAATAAAAACTAATATATATTGAAATTTTCTATATAAAGAAACTAATAATAAAACTTTCTTAATAACAAAGACACAGATAGTTCATGTACCTATATAATGTACATTTTGTATTACAGTTATAAGTATATTCGACTTATTTCAAATTTAATATTTGTATTATCAGGTAAATCGGATGAGTCTTGCCTTACATCAACGATCCTTAATAGAAAAGAACCCTAGAATTAAACGTCAGGTATATAATATAAAATATGACTATTATAAGTATTAACTACATGTTATTCATATTACATAAATGATTTAACAGGAACATTTATTTTTATTTTTATTTAGATCAAGTGTTTTTTTCTTAGAAGATTACACGAACACTTTCATTTCGAGCTGTATGGAATGTGTCATGTTAACATAAGACAACTGTTTAGTTTATCAAACATAGCGATTGGTTATTTAGTAATTCAAGTTTTGTTCAAATTGAATAAATTATGAACAGATATAGTTCAACGGTATAAGGATTGATCTATTTATCGCAAGACATTATCATTATAGAGGTTATCTTATAGAGACAACCGTCAGTCGTCACCCAATAATTCTAAAAACTTCATAAATCGAACTATATGCTTGGTTCCCTGAGGTTATAATTACAAGAAAATGCATGTATTTCGGTTCCCTCGATAATTCGAAATGTCTGTTTGTAGTTTTTAGCCGGGTCCTCTGACTTTAAAATTATGTGACTATACCTACTAACGTTTTATACAAATTTATTGTATTAAATTTAATATATATTGTAATTTGTAACAAATCTAGACACACGGTAACGTGTCAAGCCAAGTTCTAGCTAACAGAATACTGGTGTGTGTAATATTACACGAACCATTTGGAGTCATATTTGACCCCCTCATAACTCAAAATATATTCCACATAAACATGTCAAATTTGGCTCATATATTCAGATTTACGAGGTACATATGTGGTCCAAATTTCATAAACACACCTCAAACCGTTATTTATAGATATATATTTTTTTTATTTTATTAAAAGAATAATTACAATCTATACAAACATTTTATACAATAAGTAATTTTTTTGATGGAGAATAGCGTTGATATAACAGAGGTGGAAGGTACCCAATAGTACCACCAGACAGATCAAGCAAGGAAATATCTAGGCCAAGATCATTTCAGTCTCCTTCTAGGATTATCGAGAATTGTACAAGAAGACAGACGTTTAATTAATAGATTAGTATGTTGATTATTTATAGATATTAACGTCCCAAAATCGTCATTTTTGTCACTGACTGGTCAAAATTTTAAGCCAGTTCCAGGTGACCTACAAAGTTCAAATTTGGCATACAGATAGTTAGTTAGGTTAATACAAAGGAAAAAAGGTGGGCAAGTGGGTGTCACTTTGCTGTACAGTAGGTTACAAGTGGGTCACTGTATAATGGATGATATTAAATTTGAATTCAACGATATAATATCATTGTATAAGAAAAACGATTCTGAGCGGAGACGGTATGTCAGTCTAGGTATAAGACATATTGTATACATATCTATGGTACTAAAAAAAATTAGACCTATAATAGGTACCTATAATAAATTCCAAATTAATCATATCACAATATCCATTAGGTACTTATAACGCGTTATACATCAACGAAAACCGCGATACTATCATTGATATATAATAGTACACTTTAGAAGTATTTATTACCCACAAATAATATTATTCAATTACAAAAAACTAACTAAAATAGTTATTCTAGGTTTTTTAATATGTAATTTCGTCCAAATTTGAATTCAAAATGTCTGTAAAAAATAACTGTGTTCATATATTTTTTAGATTTTTTGGTTACAGTATGAACTATTTATGAGAACCTTTGTTTTAAATTTTCAATCCTTATAACTATAAAAACTGAAAATTTTATAATTTATTAATTACAATGATTGATAATTTTCGAGATTTTGTCAAAATTCAATCTTTAAATGCTTATAAAAAAAAAACTGTGCCTATGTATTTTTAATATTTTTCAACTGATATTGTAACAATATATCAGGATTCTTGTATTAATTTTTTACACTTTTTGGCCCAACAGATAAAACTTTATTGATATTTATAGAAAAAAAAAAAAATAAATTGAAAGCTGTAAATGTCCATAAATATATTCTTCTGGTCAAAATGCGTGGAAAATTAATACAATGCTTCTGATATATGGTTACAATCGCAATTGAATATTAATAAAAAAAAACATTGTCACATTATTTTTTTACAATCATTTAAAATTCCAATTTTGACAAAATTTATCAGATTTCATATTTAAAAATGATAATGTAGCTAAAAATGTATAAACGTTCAACTTTTATAGAAAGAATTGAAAATGTAACACAAGGTTCCACATAAGTAGATTAGTCTGTACCCAACAAATACAAAATTTATAAAAACACAGTTTTTTTAAATGTTACATTATTTAAAAATTTAACAACATCCAATTTCTTTAATGTATTAACTTAATATTATCGTTAATCTTATCAACATATTCTGATATTCAGTATTTAATGTTAATAGATCTACTATATTATGTACGTATGTATATTAATGTACCTATATAATATAATATGTTAATTTTGGACACTCCTCGATATACTAAAACCCAAAAATGTATTGTATGATAATTTTTGGTCTTGCTTTACCTATACACTAATGGCAAATTCATCAATTTAAGTATTAGATTTAGAACAACACGATGGTCGGCTATTTAAGTACTACGCGTTTGCTGAGTTGCGTGATATATTATAATATTAAAGTAATATTTCTACAATTATAATATTTTTATCATGACAAAGGGGACGCGTATAAACCTGGACCGTAAAAACTCGGACTGTACATATCTGGAAAGTACATATCTGGACCGTAGAATTCTGGATGTATAATATAAAACCACATATTTCTGTTTAAGGGGCATGAGCCATTTGTCAGGTTTTAATTTTCTTAGACTTTAATTTGGTTAAAATTGTTTAAAAAGTGTTATTATGGTTGTAACGACGTTTGTTAAGAAAGTGAAAAGTCTCTAAAAATTTTAGAGCTCAAATTTTCTTTTTCAGAATTCTTATCCCTTACTAGATTAATCGGTTCGTTTCAAAACTACACATCTTAAATCAATCGTAATACTATCGTAGAACTATAGAACAAACAACAGTAGTGGTCAAAACATTTGAATATTTATCTTCATCGACTAATGAGTGACTAAAAGGTAATTTAAATTAAAACATTTAAAACATAAATATGGTTGGATAATATGTGTTGACCTACAAAATATCCGAGAATTATGATGATCCGTATAGTTTGGCCAAACCTATCATAATATAGCATTCCTGATACTGATATAAAGAATCCAATAAAACTTTACACAAACCTTTTTTTAAAATTTGTGGACACTAGAGGTTTATAAATACCAATAAAACGGGTGAGCATTAAAATTGGAAAAATATTATTATAGTAGGTAATGGTTTTTTTTAAATTATATTATAATTATTTTAAATTAAATTAAATTTAGTGGTGCATTTTGGCAACGCTGCACTAATTTCGTACTCAATCATAATGTTCGTAATGTTTTTAAGCAGGGACTAAAATTGTGTGTAGTACGAGTCATTACGACACACTATTTGTGTAATACGAAATTAAAAAGTGTGAAATGGCCAGTAAGAACTATTAACTATAATAGTAACTTTTTTTACAGTATTTCTTCAATAATTGAAAAATAATTATTGGGAATACATTTTAACAATGCATATCAAAGTATTGAAGTACATATTGTTAAATATAAAAAACTAAACTGTCATAATGTTTTGAAAATACTTGTCAGTTACTATTACTATAGGTATATGTATAGTATAATATTATGAAGAAAAGAATAGTATATAATGGCCTCGTTATTTAATCAATAATCCACACTGGCTTTATGAGGAATGGGCTCAGAACTTAAATATTTAGTATTTATATTGGCATATATAGCCATACAGATAAACATTCTTATAAGATAACGATCATGATTCAATTTTTTTGTATAACAGTTATAGCTTAGCCCTCTTTTTTTATAAAAATTGCATAAGGTTAAATTGGGTAAATAAGGTAAGTGGGCCTGAATATAATAATTAATTTTTTATCTTAATTTTATATATACCTCATAAGAATTATAAAGAATAATTGTAATTACTAATTGCTATGATACAACAATTATTTTATTAAATATTTAAATATTATTTTAATTATTGTATGTAATTGTACGTAGTTGATATTTTTAACATTAAAAAAAAAAAAAAAACTTTATAGTTATATATTTTTATTATATATTTTATACAACAATATAATATAATATTAAAAATGAAAATAAAAAGATAATATAAGCTTAAAAAAAATTTAGAATATTTTGCGGAGGACTGTTCAAATTGATGGTGCTTTCTTGGCCCCCAAATCCCTTTCTCCCTATTTGTGCGTTTAGTAGGCTTTTAGGTACATTTGATTTTATGAGTCTATTTGTGACAAAATTGTGGTAAAAACTAATTGACGCTTCAATACTAGATTGTACAAAGAAATGAAAATCAGAAGATACCTATGTGGCTATGTAGTATTTGAACACCAAGTCTTCCTATTCCCATATGTAGTTAATAATTGAACATATATTTGTAAGCAAAGGTAGGATAGTTAATAAAAATAATTAACTCAAGTTATGTTAAGAGAGCACAAGCTCAATGAGTTAAAAATTAACAAATATTAAATTTAACTCGATAAGTTAAAAGTTAATATGGGAAAAATATTAACTTAACATAACTTTAAACTTAATTTTTTTTTAAAGTTAATCTACATTTTTTAATTAGCATGTTGATCACATAACAAGTGACTGCATAATTTCTAATTAAAAAATTAAAATAAACAATTTTATAACTAAACGCAGTTGTACTATGCATATGTTTTTTTCTTAAATATCCAAGAAGAATAAAAGAAGATAATATTTACGTTCCTAATCCTAAAAATAAAAAATGAATTCATGTTCATATTTTTTTAAAGATAATGGAATTAATATGATAAATATGAAATTATAATGAAATTAATTACAAGAATCGTCTCTTAACAACACCGATCATCACATAGCATAATATCACATTCAATTATCGTATATTCTTTGAAGAGCTCTAATTTTAATAATCAAAAAAATGGATCTGATTCAAACATCGTTTTCATGGATCCGCGTCAGGAAGACATCCAGGTCTTCAGGTTCTGCAAGTCCACTGTGTAAGTCCGTTAGTAATTTGAATGTGTGAGAGGCTGCCTAGTTCACTCCGATCGGTGTTTCTCTAAACTTCTGCCTTGCTGCCCACACATTTTTTTTGGAATTTCTTGGCAATTATCTTGTGCAGGCAAATTGAACAAGCAAATTCTTTATAAAACCTGTATTGTTAATAGAATCATATAACATTTAGTCTTCCACATAA